AGACACGTTATGTCCTGCTTAGCCAGCTCCCACTGTATTTGCTGTTCCACTCAGCACTGCTGCAAGTGTCTTTGTATTTATTTAATTTCCAGTGAAACCTACTCTCCTGACAAAGAATGCTTTTTGCTGTAAGGTGTTTCTAAACTCGTTTGGAAAATGATTATAAAAGTACTCTGTTCCAGAAACCTCACCTCACATTGTTCATTTTTGTTTTCTTGCTATTGAGAAGTTGTGATCTGTGAGCCAAGTTCTTTCCTAGTTGTATAATTCTGCGCATTTTGTTTATTTTCTTGGTCAAATTGCAAGAATATTATACCTGCAAATTTCATTCAGAGCACAGAATGCTTTTGAGATTTTGCATAAATAAAATAAAACCATTTCTCCCTCTCTGCATTCACTTCTCTCCTGTGTTACTGGAGAAGAGTTGGGATTTAGGTTCCTGCCTTGCAGTTGATTGACAAGAACAGTAACAAAACCAGTATCAGTTCTCTTGTAAAAATATAAAGGACTGTGAATTGCAATGTTGAGGATATCAGGGCTCTGTGACTCCCTTTATGCATGCTCAGCAGTTCCTTCCTCCTTGCAATACATTTTTCTCTTACCCAGCACAATTCATAGAGCTCAAAAAGAAAATAAATACTATATCGTTGAGAGCCTTCTGCTGTGGCAAAGCTGCAGGTTTAATCTTTGAGGAGAACTCCTTAGGGAGAAAATGTGCTTCAAGGCTTCCCTTAAACAGCTCCCCAAGACATTTTTTCCTAAAGGTGTAGGTCTTTGTGAGGCTAAGGCTGCTGCCTCTCCACTCCCCGCCGGTGAGGCTGGGGATGGTCCCTCAACCAGTTTCCCCAGGAGCACCCACACCTTGGACCACTCCAGCCAGACTGCACAGGGAGTGCAAAACTGTGGGAGATTCACAGGGACATTCCTCAAAGTAGAGATATAAAGCTTGTTTTTTCATCAGGAAGGAAAGATGAAGGCAAGGGAAAGGCAATGTCCTATTTAAGGAGATGCTCTGGTGGAGAGGTGTGGAGCTGGGGAGTTGGGTGTCGGCAGTACCCATCTCTGCTGCTCAGGAGGGTGCTCTCGTGCTGTGGCTGTATGATCTGTATTGCTGCCCAGCGCTGTTGAACTTTTAGATCAGCTTAATTTTTAGCTCCAGTGCTCCTAGTTAAAACAAATCTCTTCTGAATGGAAAAAACAAAATCAGGGGAAAGGAAAGTGTGATTTCTTTGGATTCTGGCAGATGGAAAAATTATTCTAGATTAAAATTTCCTTGCCAGAAATGTTGGATTATTTTGGTTTTCCTCTTATTCTGACTTTATCTCAACTGTAATCTGGAAGCTTCTTTGAGTTTTATTTGTCTAGATGAACTGTAAAAAACATGTCATCCTTCCCTTTAGAGTTCAGAGGATCTTCTCCCTCAGGTGGTGAGGGTTCTTAGAGTCCTACTGTTGCTTTTGCTTTATGGTCATTAAAAACAACTCTTGGCATTTGTCTATACCGTATCTTCTGTGGAGATTTTACGTTTTTGTAGCCAACAAACACATTTGACGAGTATTCTTGAAGAGTACCTTTGATTAGGACCTATGCATAGCTTTGGAACAGGCTAAGTCTGCAGCTTCTGAGAAGCGCCTGGCTCTTCCCAGAAACTGTTGTGGCCATTTAATCTCATCTTTTATCTTTAGTTTCTGTGATGCTGCAGGTATTTACTACTTTGAGTAAACCCTCTGAATTACGCTGGTCAGCTTCTGGCAGTAAATATTTATAAGTATCAGCCCCCTGTGTCAAGGGGACACCATGCATGGGAGGTGTCTTCATTTAAGGATTTAAAGTTGAGGTCCTGAGTGCCTACAAAATAATCCAATATCTGGCTGGACCTTCACGAGAGAAGTGGTTTCAGTTGTTTATTTTTTGCCACTGTTTAGTCTGCCATTTAATCTGCCAAGGCATATCCAAGTTTAAATTGATTAAAATGTTCTCATTTCCTGTCCTGAACATATTGTGTAATAGCCTTCTTCAGCTTTTTTAAATATTTGCTCTGTTTCACTCCAGCGCTGGTGGGTGAAGTAATTACCATGTCAAATCAGTCGGTAGGATGCCTTGAAATCTGCCAGGTCCTGTGCACTGTTGGGGCATGATTAGACCCTGCTGTGTACGGTTTCTAGGTCATAAGCATTTAGGAGTTGATGGAAAAAGAAGGATCTTCACCAGCTGTTACCAAGAGGGGGCTGGTATAGTAATTTTCATGTTTTAGTCACAAGACTTGTTTTGGAACAAAAATATGCTAATAGATGTTGTTCGTTTCATAGTCTTTAGTAAACTTTTCCAGATCTCCGGTTTCTTTGTGTGCTGGTTTTGTTTTTTTTCAGTCCTGGGGTTCAATTTGGAAATACTCTGAAAGCAAGCGATGAAAAAATGTCAGAGGCTTAGAGATATTTCCACGTTTTTTGGTCAGTTTAGTGTCGTCATCATCTAAACATAGGCCGGCTGGGCTGGAAGAGATCTCTTGGGTCACAGCTCCCTTGTTTTTGCCTTTCACAGACACTGTCGTATTACCCTTTTTATAAGTGCATCCAGCTCTGTCTTAGTGCTTGGTTTTTGTCTGCATTTGGGAAACTGTTCCCAAGTGTTCCAGTTCTGAAACATCTTCTGAGCTTCTTTAAATTTCTTTTCTCTTCCTGTCCTGTTGAGAAGGCTGGAAAACTGTGCACCAGGGGCTAAGCCTAAGGCAAAATGCATGTTGGACAAAAAAATGTTGCTAGTGTCTCCTGGAGGTGTATTATTTTTTCTTAAAGCTTTCAGGAACAAACTGCAGAAAGATGAGGTCAGAAATCATCTACTTGAATTAGCTAAAAGATAAGGCTTCCTGGCATCAGCAGCAGGAGAAGGTAATCATCTTCAATATACAAAGTACGAGACTGTGTTTAGTACCAAATAGCATTCCATGTTGGCCTCTTGTAAATCAGAGCTATCTCGATGTTAAAAGGCAAACACGGATTCAGACTGCAGATTTGGGTAATTTGCTCCACCTACTCAAAAGGCAGCTATTTCGGAGTGAATTTTAGTGATTTATGATCCCATCTCATATTTCCAAAAGGCATTTCTTTACCAGTGTCTATTTTTTTCTCCCGTCACTTTGTCTTGTTTAGGTAATACATAAATCTTTCAGAAAAGAGCGTCATCTATAAACTCTGAGGCCCCTTAGTGACAAGCCCCATTGTCAAAGGCAGGCACTTTGCCAGGAAACTGTGACTCCCAGAGAGAGTGTGCAAGGTTAGGGGGAAAGTATACTATTGCCAGAGAAACTATATTCCAAGTGGATTTGTGTGGAACAACAACGATATCCAGTGACTGGTTAAATTAGCCACAGATGTGTTTTCTCGAACACTGTCCAAGAAGATATACAGTACTTTAAGGCTTGGTTCAGACATAATGATCTTCTGAAGTCAAATCAGATCCAAGCAAAATTGCATCGGTACTAGGGAGGCTTTAAAGGAATTGTGTAATGTGATTCAGACAAGTAGATGAATCAGACTGCAGTGAACTAAACAAGGAGCACATCGGTGAGAGATGAGGTAAGACGGCTTGCAGAGAAGTGTGATGGTTCGATGTTAGCAGTTTGCTATTAAAATTCGAGCTGCAGTGGATTGACACGGGCAGTGAAACGGGCCCGTTGTGCCGGCCATCTGCCCAGAACGTGCATGAAGAAGAGAATCTCCTGGTAGTTTATTACGGCTTTTCGAAACATCCGAGCACTTGGCTTTGCACTTGCCGGCTCCATTGCTGTATCGCTGTCCCTGCGCCACTCCTCCTGCACAGCAGGGCTGCCAATTTCAGTTTTTAAGAGGATAATTACTCTGCTGAGAGCAATGCACTTATTAAATATTTGGAGAATTTTCACATACTGAAATCAGAGTACAGGTGAAAGCTCTGGGACTTTTCTCATGCAGGAGAATTTTGTCGTGGCATCGCAGCTGGAGCAGTATGTGGGATTTCTGTCCGAGATCAGCGTTGAGCAGCTCAGCTTCCAGCCCGCAGCCAAGTTCTGAGGCTCGGTCTTACAGTTTAGATAAGACAGACGGTGGAGAGACGTCCTGTTGAATTACAGATCTGTTATATGGTTTAAAGTTCTGGGGAAACGTAAGCAGCTTAGTTACTGTAGTAGTTGGAACACGGAGCAAGAAAAGCTTTTGTTGTATTCTCTGACCTATTTCTTTACCATGTTATTTACTTGAACTAAATTGAATATGGTGTATTAAAATATAGTAATCAAAAAGGGCCTGGAAGTATTCAGCTTATATTCTCATTGCAATAAGAATTACTAGTAAAGTGGAGTTTAGAAAATAGCAGTTTTGTTGAGGAATTGCAGGGGAGTTGTAAATAAAAACAAAAATTTCCATAGTAGAAATAGCCTATTCTTGTGGATGAGAATTTATCTCGGTCTCTGTTTTACAGAGCTTTATTAAATGTTTTTGATGCTGTTGGTGTAAGTGTGGAAAAGGATCTGTTTAGGTTTGCTTTAAATTTCCAGATACATTTCCTAAGTAAGCAGTAAACGCTGTGAGTTTATTCACAGAAATGTTACCTTTTTTTGCTTTCCTTGTTACTTCTTTGTAATAACTTGTTTTAATCAAGCAAATTATATTGCTTCCCATCCTCTGCTTCCAGTTTCCTCTCACTTGAGCTCTGAATTCTGCTTCAGGAGATTTTTCACTTCTATTCTTAGGAATTTTTGCAGGTCACATGCAAAGCCGTGTGTGTGTGCATGCATGCGTGTATGTCTTTAGAGAGCATACCAATAATTAGAATAACTCTGCAAAGTCATGGCTTTTCTTCAGGAGAACTCATGGCAAAAAATGAGAAGTGCCTCCATTTTCAGGTATGCTTTCTGATTTTGTCCTAAAAGAGCCAGACATCCTGACAGCTGACAAAAAGTGTTGTAAAATGTGATTGTTTTGAAAATGCTCATATCTGTGGCTTTATTTCTTCTCTCTTTATAGGGTCTTTGTAAACAGAAGTTTAGCCATGGAAAAGATAAAGTGCTTTGGTTTTGATATGGATTATACACTTGCTGGTGAGTATCTTAATTTTTTTGGTCATTGACCTAGTTTGGGGTTTTACCTTTTGTTGAGAAAAAAACGGTTACTGGTTGAGCTACTCCCGTTAGCAAGTGCTTCTTCTAATAGCAAACATACCGTTCACTATTTGTTGCACTTTCATTTTAGGCTTTTCCCTTAACTGTGTTATCTGCAAGCTGTATTTTGTCACAAGCCATGTTGTGTAGTTCAGTTTCAAATGCTTATGGGTATCAAGGAAACCAAAGCTTAATAAGTCTCAGTGTTTCCTTAGGTTCTACTATATTCTGATACTGCCCTGGTGCAGGCTTGGCTTTGAATAACAAAGTGTTTTCTTTTATCTTTGGTGTATATGGCAGACCATGCTTTTAGCCTCCCTATGTCCTGGGAGGGTAATTTCTGAATATATTTTCCTCTTTCCCACTCCTCGGTTGGCCACATCAGTGACTCACTTTGAGAAGCAGCAAGGCAGCCAAATTAATGTAGAAAGCTTTGCCCATTCTTTATGGCAGATAGGCTTTGGGAGGTTGCATAAGTGTCATAAAATTTTTGCATTACTTCTCCGGTTTTTTTTTCAAATACTTGACAGGCGAGTTCTCTGAGTCTTTTGGTGAAGGAGGGGTAAAGTTACTGTTTTCTGCATAATCAGACTTGCATGGTGTTACATATTTTAAGGAAGGGATGAAAAGCCCTGTTCCACTTCCTAGGTTATAGTATCACACAGGTTGTAACTGAGGATCTCACTGCCTTCTTTCTCATTACCACTTACAAGGTTAAGGATCAAAAGTTCTTGTCACCCTTGATATTTCAATTTAGAATTGTGAATATAAACTGAGAAAATACGAGGTAGAGTGTCAGAGTCACCTAATAATAGGTTAGTGCAGTATGTCAGCTACGGTCATGTAGTTACTGTGACTGCCTGAGAAGGAATGAGAGATGGGTAACGTGGCCAGGGGCAGCATGAGGGGCACAGGAGTGGGGGTCGGTAGCTAAGGAAAGACCTGGGAGGTTTCCATGTGCTCATGGTTCAACACAACAGTGCAAGGAGCAGTTCTGGAAGCTGTGGCAGGTAGTTGCAATTCATATTTAGATCACTTGCTCTTGTTGTTTTAAGCCATGAGGCAATTGTTATATATAAAAGGGTTGGTTGTTCAACACCTTTTTTAAACATCTGTTTAAAGTTCCTCCCACTTTTTAAGTAATAAAGTGTATGATCGTTAATCTGTGCAGGCACGTGCTTTCAGTGTTTATTTCCCAGCTGTGACAGCACTGTGGCAGTGCTTTTAAGGAGCGCAAAGGAGTTGTTCAAGCACAAATGTTTTAAAAAAACCCAATGCCAAACTTGTGGGTTTCACTTCTGTAATGGAAAAACAACTTCTGTGCCTTTCGCAAGCTAGCAGCGTTTCCCAAGGACTCAGGTGATGCCGGTGGGGCTGGCGTGGAGCATGAAGCGTGTTGCTAACTTTCATCCTGACAGAAGGAGAGCTTCAGCGCTATCCTCGCTTCTCTGACTGTTCATTTTACTCAAGTGTTGCTTGTTCCTGTAAACACAGAGCAAATGTGTTGTGATCCACAAAACGATGCTTGATTTGATGAGAGGAGAAAAATGTGAATGTTTCAGGCATCCTAAAACAGTACCCAGGGACATAGAAACCTGGGGCTTCCAAAGCTGGAAGATCCCAGTGCTGCAGTTAATCAGGCAAGGTTGGTGCAATTATGGGAGTTGAATGACAGGGTCTGGTGCAGAAAAAGAAATGGGATGTGGTCTGAGCAGAAAACCGGAAATCTGGACCACTCTGGGGTATGACCTCTTCCATAGTACAACAGAGATAATAGTTGCTGATCATTTTACAAGGAAATGGGAGAATGTAGTTAGGTTGGAAAGTCTTTTGCAGATGAAAAGCATTATTCCTAGTAAGCACTGTTTTCCTTTTTTTCAACTGGGAAATTAACATACAAAATTACCTGTTTGTCTTCTTATGCCTCAGAGTCATCCTTTCTTCTCCATATGGGCTTTTGTTATCTGACCATTATTTGCTATATGTAACTGTCGCACACAAGAAAAATTACTTGATAATTGCAGGGACTTTAAAAATAGTGTAGTGTTACAATATAATTATGATTGTAATTAATTAGTTGGAGATGATAATGAAGAAGTGGGGCAAGTGAAGTATTACACTGGTATGTTGTAGACATTAGACCCTGTTATGTTTTCTGTCCAGGCATGTTGTCCCTTTCACAGTCTTTCACATGGACATGCTACTCTCTAGATCAACACAGGAGGAATAATGTAAGAAGCTAGTTTTATACGCAATTTAACATCTGGAAACATATCTGCATACCAGATGGTGCATGCTGAGCAGAAGCCTTTTGGAGACCGTTCAAGACATGTAAATAGACCAAAGAAGAACAAAATTATCTCCAGTGTCATCAACTCCTCATCTAGTATTTTACATTTGTACTTTCAGATATTGCTAAGTCACTCTCTCTGTAAAGTTATTTAAAAATATTCCAAGCACAGTCTTCATATTCAATGATTGAAGGCAGTCAGAGCCATTGATCTTCCCAAAAAATATATCCAAAGTCCTTTTCCCACTCTCTGTCATGAACTTTCACATCAGAAATAAAGTGACGATATTCATCCTGTAGCTGATAGCCATACACTCTGACATCTCTGAAGAAGAATGATTATTTTGGAGCACCTTGAATTACCCATCTTGTGAAGAGGAGGCTGTGATGTCAGCAAAAGAAAACACGTTGTCACTCTTCTCCCTTTCTTCTTCCCAGATCAGTGGACACTGGTGGCACCATAAGTCTTGCTTAGGAGGTGGTTCAATACCAGAGAAGTCAGAATCATTTGACTTATTTTGAGCTTTAGAAGCCTGAGACAATTTTGTTCTTGTGCTTTATGAGTTTAAGGACACAAACTTCTTACAATAACACTGTTTTCTGTCTAGAATAATCTAATTTTGGTAGGAAAGTGGCATTTCCATTTTGAAGTATGTTGTAACAGCTACTACACACATGCTGCAGTGATCATGTGTTCTACTACTAATGTGACTGAGAATGTCAGCTTGCCAAGTGACAGCAATTTTAGTATCATCGTGTCACATTGCACATAAAATATTTCATGCATTTTTTATAGGGTACTATTTCTTAGCCTTATTAAATTGAATGACCACTTAACTCAGAATTGGAAGAATTCAAGACTGTGATATAGCATTGCCATGGTGATTTTGTTTGCTTTCATGTCAAAATTAGGTTTCAGTCTGAATCTGAATCTCTGTTTAATAACTTCTGTGTTCTTCCATTGTGTTTGTCTCTGTCCTTGCATAGGGTTGGGAAATATTGTTAGTGGTGGGTTGGGCAAACAAAGTCTTTTTGTCTAGAAGAAAAGAGCCTGAAGGTTTTAGTCTTCTGTTCTGAGAAATTATGGACATTAAATTGCTGAATTTGTAGCCACTGCGATTATAGCTAGAATTAATTTGACTGCTGGTAGCTCAAAATAAAGTGAAAGCAAATTGAAATTGAAATAACTCTCACAGGCTTTAGATTTCTTGTTTTCCCATCAAGGGTTGCTGTTGGATCCTCATGGAGTGAATTAGATCTCCTACATGTATGGAAACTCCCAAGTCTCCCTAGGTTTATGTGCTGAATACACTAATACTAGAGACTCAGAAATCTCTGTTGTATTTGAAGCTGTTTCCTTCCTATTCAGTCTGTTTGGTTTGCTTGTGTGAGTGAATCACATTTAATACATTTAAAAAATGTTTCTTTTAAGCTGGGTGCTGCTAGTGGGAGAGAAGTCAAAGGAGCAGGAAGAACAGCGTGGTTTGGCTGGTTTGTGTGCGTCGTTAAATAGTTAATGCTTAAAATCTTGGAGGGGTTGACGCAAACAAGAGTCATCAGCTATTTCAGCCCTTGCTGTTAGCAGAGGTTAAGACAAGTTTCTGTGATGTTAGGCAGCCGTCACCCTAGCTGCCCTGCTTCTCTGCCACTGACCTTGCTGCCTGCCAGCCTGGGAGCGAAGCACGAGCCGATTCCCCAGGGTTCCCTTGCTCCTCGGAAGGCGACAGCATCACACCAGGGTCTGCAAACACGCGTGAAGGGCTGTGCTTGCTGTCAGGGCAGAACGGAGAATTTTTGAAGAATTCCCATTGAAATCCTGAAGTTAGAGAGATTTGAGTGTCCTTTTGTAGTGCGTTTTTGTTTGCTAAGTAGTAGTGTCTTCTGTTATCTGAATGATTCATGTCTGCTTATTCATCCTGACTGGCTAGAAGACCAGTAGTCTGTAACAATTGTGGTCTGCCTTCGTGTTTTATTAGTACTGTCAAAACTGCCCATGCTTTGGTAAAGGAAAATGTTGCATGTAATCCAAAAGATTCACAGCCTTCTCTGTTTTGTGTTTCCTGCCTATTGCCAGAAGATAGTTAAAGGTATGTCAGTAGAGAGTCTTAACTGCCACACTCACCTGAGACTAGCGAGACCAGTTGGAAATGCAACAGAGAGAGACTGGTTTCACATAGGATTTCGTTTGGCTGTTTCTTTGTTACTGTGAGCTACACTTGTAATTAGTAGGTAAAGCAGGAGGCCTTGGCATTACTAGGTCTTAAATGGGACAGGCTGCACAATGAGGTGATGGATGGGTGGATGGGTGGATGGATGGATGGATGGATGGATGGATGGATGGATGGACCCAGACAGGAGCAGGGCTAAAGCAGTGGGCTTCTCAAACAGGCTTTCATTTCACACTGGGCCACTGGCAGATGGAAAAGAAATTGGTAAGAATTACAAACTCAGTTGTGCTTGAAAAGATTCCTCTGTGACTCTCCTCCGTCTCTGAAAGTTATGGCCTTGTTGAAAGTTTTATCTTCTGTCTCTGAGGTAGATAAGATGTAGTATCAGTAGGCAGGATGCTTTCATTTGGACTGCATTTCCTGTCCTTAAATCACTGCTGCTTCCATGTTCTCCAGAAATCTATAATAAAATTATCATTGGC